TTTCTAATAAGCAGTTACGGTACCTTGAAGAAGTACAACCAGGCAGGCTAAGGAGCGACAAGTATTCTGCACTGACTTCAATAACAATGATAAAAGCTCAATGCACTAGTTACGGGTATGAGACACCGGATTCAACTCTTCATTATCGATATGCTTCGTCCAGACAAGCAAACTAATCGAGGTCCAAACCCGTTATTTCCTATGAAGCGAGACAGGCACACACTGCACCAACCAACGAAGCTTGCCGCTAGGCAGCATCGCCAACACTATTATACGTTCGTCTAAGAATTTGAAAATATTCAGTCCTCATGGCAGTCCACAAATTCTTGTTCACATCCATCGCATGGTAGTTGTCCTTATAACCGCAGTCATCGAACTGACTGTCCAGAAAGCTAGAGAGACACGCGGGGTTTTCAGTCCTACACATGTTGCCAACCCAATAAAGCATTCCAATGTATAAGCGCTTGGATATATTAAGAGTCTCAATGTCCAGGATATGAGGTCGAAGTCTAGTCGATGGTGGATAGGCTAACATGACTTGGGTGTTCTTCGCATCCGGCGACCTACAAGTAAAAAGGATGTTGAGGCACTGATGAGGCGATTGGAGTACGAGCTTGACTTTCCAGCGCTCTTAACCTTACCGTCGCTGAACAAACTGCCAACGCTAAGCCGGTGAAGTGTTTCGCACACATCCACCCGTAGGGACAGGCGCACGCCCCAATCGGGGAACCCATGAGCCCGCCAAAAATCTCGCAAAGTCTCGTTCACGGACTCGCCTGGTAGGCAACACGTCTCTTCCCGGACACCATAGCGGATTGTCCATCCAAGCTGTCTCTCGCGTGGCCTGTAGGCTGTGTCTGAATATGACAGTAAGGCGACGACCGCCTCGTTCTGCCTTTCTTCAGCCCCTTGTGAAGGGATGAGTGGTTGAAATTGCACCCAGTCGACGTCTGGCCTTTCAAATACCCATGCATGCTCTTCGTTGTTCAGAAGCCAACTATAGCCATCTTTGTTGTCAGGAGAGTTATTCAATCCTTCGATGTGTTAGCTGCTGCAGATTATGCCAGAGCGCAGTGAAAGTCATCCAAGTGGTACTACGAAGATCTCATAAGCAAACAGAGTAGCTCATCCCATGTCCGTACACATCGACTGTTGATGCTCGGAGATGGCCACATATCATCAAATAAGTCCAATATGAGCTGATTGACCCGCACCATGTCATCAGGGCGATAGTGACGCAATTCCAGTAGAAAAAGTGGAAGGTCTCTTTCCAATTATAAACCACTGGCGGTGCCATTTCAACCTCGCTAGCGTTTGCCTCGTGACGTAGAAGAGCAGAGATGGAGTTAAACCATAGCCGTAAGGGCAGTGTATGTGGAAGAAGAGCCAGATTCAGTTCGATGGCATAATTTATAGGCATTGCTGGTGTCACGAGCAGGTCACAACAGTTGGCTGTGACTGGTGTTGGGGGTATCTGATGCAAGCAAGTGCGGGGAGCGATTTCGCCCCAACATCCCAACCTGGAATGTTTAGATTGACACACGTTCGTTTCGGTTGGGAAGTCTGTGAAGCAGTTCTTATACTTCAACAATTCCAGTAAGCACGGTTCAGGAAGTATGTAATGCCTAATTGTTGATACTCGTTACTAACCAGCACCACGAGATACCCGCGTCTGGGTCATGGAGCCCCTGGTCGTGAGTGAGTACTTCGAAACAGCGATAATCGATAAACCTCCACTGAAAAGGGGCTGTTTGAAGGCAAATCATTCTTCGAGCAGTCCAAATCCGCAAAGATACGCTCTCCGAAACATGCGACCGCCAACTTTTCTGACTTCAGGCAGACAGGTTTATTATCGAGACATTCCGGTCGAACTAGAGTTCGTTTCAGCGATTGGTGGCTTCTAGAGTTTAGCAGCAAGTATCTATTGCCAAGCTAACACTTTTCGAACACTTCCGGTTTCTTTTCGCTGTGGTCTGAAGACAACACTGGTTCGACAGCGTTTAACTAAAAGTTAGGTGGCCAAAAGGCTATTTACTCCAGTCTTATTACCTTGGCATCACAAGATTTCATCGCAACAACTAATGACAACAGCCCGCCCCGGCTTGACTAATAAATGTATTCCTTATCGCCCTTCCTACGAACATCCACTTCTTAGGTTCGATCGCCGTTCTTGTGCAGTCATAATGCCCAGAAAGAAACCCGTCAAGCCCAAGGCAACAACAAGGACCTCCTTCAAGTATCCGTGTCTCCATAAAGATGTATCGAAAGCTGTGTCTGACGATCTTTCCTCAACGTGGTTCAACAACAAGGGCACCAAGGAAAGCTCCATCAATGAGTACTTGACCAAGGTGAAGGGCAGATTCGAAAGCATCAATCCGAATTGTTCCAACACCGCCTGGACGAGCAAGACGGTAGCAATCGTGATCAGGGGGTATCGCAAGAATGGTTATGACGCTGTTGTATTCAACCAGCGCTGCATATCCTGCAAGGAGCTCGGCGTCTTTACTCTTGATAAGCAATCCTACGTTGAACGAATCGCATACCGGCTTAAGAGGTGGGCAGGCGTAGAGACGGATCAGCCGGTCTACGCTGGAAAAGACGGTCCCCCACACCAGGTCGATCTCTGTGAGGGTTGCAAACGGGGTTACTGTCAGAAGGGAAACCGTTTCGAGTTTGGAACTTGATTCGTGCAGGTTGAGAATGGAAAGTTCTGTGAGGTCAGATGGTATTGCAGAAGTACTAGAGGCTAATCCGGCCAAGCGTAGAGTGGGAAGGACGTATTCACCGCATCTCGCTGTGATGTACTGTTCGTGTTAAGACAAACCGCGGCGTATCAGTCAAAAAAGTATAAGTGCCTGTGGTTTGGTCCATTGTGATTGGTGACTCCCGCCCGAATTGAAAGGCGACCATGCTGCCAGGGTCAAAGGTTCGCTTCGAGTCTCCTCGACAGCCTTGAAGCGTATGATGTTGCAGCTCTCGCTCTCCAAGTGATTTAAGATTTGGATTGAAATATTGAGGCGTGCGAAGCGACTCCCGCAAAGGGAACAATCGAAAATTTTGGTATCGACATTCCAGGATTTCGATGTGGCCTCAAAACTGGCCAACATAGACCGCTCCACGTTTTGTCAACACGTCATTCGGACCACTGCGCTTGACCGCTTCGTAGACTTTTATCCGGTCTAGGGGCGCTTTCGAACGTGCACCTCTTTCAGGATGATGAAAACGCCGGCTGCAATCACGAATGAACCGAGACAGAAACGACAAGATGCGTTCTTACCCCAATCTGACACAAATGGCCGAGATGGCTCCATAGACGGGGAAGCCCCAGAGTTGAGGCTATTATACTATTTGATTGGCACAAGTGCTGGGCCGTGGTTCTGTCGCCACAGAAGTGGTTTTTGATGACGTTTCCAATACCGAACCCTTTTCAAACCGATGATTAACCTCTCTTCTGGATTCCAGACGTCAATGTCTTGTTCCTAGCCATTCTCCATGCCATCAAAGTGTGCAAGTCTTTGCATCGCCCGCTCAGATATCGGCCTAAGGACATGTTTCACCAAGAGAATGAGGATCGCCATGTCTGAAAACACGGCGTCTAGTATGGATTTCAGAAACGCGACGCAGTCATCATCATGCTGCAGTCGTCTTGTTGCTCATCTATTGGGAAGGATTACACATTGTATTGGAGGCGGGTCCCATTGATACACAGGCGGAAATAGCAGCTGTAGTGAATCGTGTCGCAAAAGTAAACAAGCTCTGAAAACTATTCACTTGCAATGACTATCTTTATCGACATGAAACCACTGTTTGGCAATAAAACCTCCTGCTCAAGGAAGCTGCGACATCTTGTTGGTTCTTTGACCGACAGCGACAGATCCCGCATAGGCTGGGACGGTTTCGTTGAACTTTGAACATCTAGACTCTGGTTCATTGACGGCTTGTCTGAAGCTTAGCAGGCGACTTCTCTGCGAGTCGCGGCGGCGACGACGACGACGACGTTGGTACCGGCTCACGCTCTCTCTTCGGCCACGGAATCTGTGGCAACCCAAGCATCGGAGGAGCAGTGTTCAGATAAGGATACTTACTGGATTGACAGTGAACAGTAAAAGTGAGAAGCAGCCCCACCTCAATACAGAAACCAGCATACCGCACATCCAGCGAAGCAAACCTCGTCCCTGCTAAAAATCTTGGGTGTCACTAAGAAAAATCGTGTCACGAATGGGAGGAAAAATACACTATTCGATGGCAAAAAGCGCTAGGACGTCTTGGCGGCGGCTCTACTGCCACTCTTGTAACTCGGAAGTGCTCTCGATAACAAGACGTCCGGTTCACCCGCAGGTGAGGCACCATCAATCAAGTATTTGTGGTATGCACTGCTGGGGTGTCTACTATCCAACGTAAGTCTGAAAAGTGTGCCATGTGCGAATAGATATGGCGATTCTCCCTGCATTGACTTGGCATGCTGTTTGCGCGCACATTTTCAGCCAAAACCATCCCTGAAACCTTCGTACAGCACCCTCCTCCCGGAGAGCACAGTTTCCATATTAAACCCGCAGCATCGCGCTAAGGATAGCTTACCTATGTCCGCTCGGTACTTCAATCTCGCATCAACCTTGTGGTTCCCTTGAACGTTTTTTTCTCGGTGTTAAACTGAGTTCGAGGTGCTGCATCACACCCCTTTGATCATGAAGCTTTAGTATTGGAGGTGATGTTGAAGACGGTAAAGGCTAGGACTAGGGCTGTCTCAATCGCCTCTTAACCATTGGGCGAGAAGGAAAGAACACAAAAGAACAGGAGTTTGACGGTCAAGGTTATACATATGTGTCTGATTGAGATACATGTCTATCCATTTCAAATTCTTGCGTTTACCATCGAAAAACTAACACCAGACCACGCAATCTAGTTGCAATGGCTCTCACTCCCCGAATGAATCCTTATGTGCGGCTGCTCTTCCGCTTATACGAGGCCCTTATTCTACTTTCGATTCTGCGGCCAGTGAACGGGTCACATCGTATCACACAGCTCAGCAACTACACCATTCAGGACGCCAGGAGGCGATTTCTCCGAAATTTGTGCTTCCTTTGCGACTACAAAAAAGGCGGCAGTAGCACCACTGCCATAGCTGTTGAGGAGCGTGAAGACTGCTACATCTTCTGGGTTTCCTCAAATGAGGGGCATGAGACCGGTGTCACTCGTCACCTCAGTGATGTCCTTGCTCATGTACAGCGTTTTGCCAGGCACGCTGAGGATCGCATCACATTCGAAGGGACCTTGATGATCATGTGCACTGCGTTTGCTAAGTTGCGGCTCAGGCAGCTGATCAGAATTTTGCGCAATGCGGCTAAAAAGTGCCGAGTGTTTTTGGAAGGCGTTCAAGAGGAGCATTGTGGGTTCGAACCTCCAACTCTCATGCTAAGTTCCCGTAGACCACCTAACACGATCAGACAACGGCGTTATAGACTGGCTTCGAAGCTTCGAGAACGAAACTTCCTCTGAGTTGTCTTTATGTCAGGCAGCATATCACGCCCGAAATGACGAAGAACTACGCCAGATCGAGCAACTTGGCCAGGAATCTGAAGACGACGCCGATGTGAGGCAGACTGCCCCTGCCTTCCGCGCAGTCAAACATACAATCGGTCGTTTGGCAGCTTATTCCCGCGCTGTGTCTCAGCTTCTCGACGACGGAAGCCGTTTACGAAAACTTCTAATGGAAAATTGCGTCGTGGACAGTATCCAATGCCCAGCCAGCGCCCCGGTCCCAGAAGCTGATTCACATACGTCTTTGAGCGGTGTACTCAAACGCTTGCTCCCTGATCGAGACATTAGATATGAGCAGTATCTTGATGTTCTCACGCGCCTAGACAGTCAAGTTCGTATCGAGTCTAAGCTCCACGACAAGTTTGAACAAGGCGGCCTGAAGCCTACCGTACATGCCGAGGTTCAGTTGCTGCAGCACTTCTACAGCGGAGGACGCCAGTACGTTGCTAAGGACAGATACATCGCGTGTAGCAAACCTGCATGCATCTGCTGCGAGCTGTACTTTCGGCATCATCCCGCAAAAGTCTGCCTGCTCGACTCTCACCGAAAAGCGTACCCGAATTGGGGAGTCTCAAGCCTTCTAGGAGGTGCGGAGAACCCAGGTTGGACTATGCAACGCAACATAATCAATAGTGTAATAAGAGACCTGAAGACCATGGTCCTTGACCAGATTGCGGAGTTACAGATTTTGAGCCAAGATCACCATGATACACTGACCCAGGTAACGGAATCCCAGATCAGCATAGATGATGATTCAGATCCGGAATTAGAGACATTTAGAGTCATCGAAAAGGTCGACTTGGCTGGCAATCGTAAGCAAATGCCCTACGCTATCCAGGCAAAGCCATTTGTTGATTGGACTATGGCTGACCACAATAATCATAGGTCTGAGCTCAGACAATTTTGTTGGCCTACGAAGTCAGTCAATGGGTTTAGAAGACACCTCGGACGGTGAGGTGGAAACAGGAGATGGAGTTTCGCTGTTGTGAGGCTTCAAACGATTGGATTTGCTATGTAAACGAATGTATATAGTTGTTATTATCCATCGTTTGTTTTTATTGTTCTTGATCCGCCCATTCCGACTTTTTTGACTACGGAGAATACGAGAAGTACTATCTCAAATTCAAAAAGACAGTGAAAAGATTGTCAGTCTCTTTTTGTCCTTTTCTTTCTTTTTCTTTTCTTTTTCTTGGTTTTCTTGTCTTGTAAAAATTGTATCCCGTGCTAATCTTCTTCGAACGTGCCGGTTGAGGTTATACATTCTTGTGAAGGATATTCCGCATCTGCACACGAACCGAGGTTGTCTGAAATGCGTCCCGTAATGCTTTCTCATGTCCCTTTGGCATGCTGATCTAGTGGGACATACAGGACACAAAACGGGCTTATAGTGGGTTCTAAGATGTTTTCTGTTTACAAGTTCAGTACACCTTAGTTATCCCATGATAGACTATACGCAGTTCAACTTACCTCTGGTGGCTCCAGGTCGAAAATTTCCTTGTGCAACCAGGCCACGTACAATTTTGGATTCCATTTTGACATTTTTCGGCGTCACGTGGAGGTAATTCCTCTTCTTCAAAAGTTATTCGAATGTTTTCACCGGCTTCATTTCGTCCTAAAAGAAGAAGCACAAGTGGTGCGTCTGGGCTTCTCATTCCAACGAAAGAGTGTTCTGCCGTGCCTCTGACGTTACCCCCTCCTGGCTCGTTCACACCTGGCCCAACGGGCGGGTTCTGGGTGAGTCCCGAGTGCTCACTCTAAAGAGTATCCGAAGCATCGGTAAACCCAGAGCTTTCCCATAGAACAGAAAAACTGTCCATGGCTAGTCTCGTCGTTCCATCTGCAAACATGTCTGTATTGGAGCTCATAGGCGAGGCGGTTTTGGAAAAGACTGTAGGTGCGTGTTTTCCGCTGACTGTCTGACTTAAAACCTGTAGCTAAGACGTTTTCTCCTTTCTACCGAGTGCGTGCGGGTCATGCGGTACTATAAAGGATCAACCAGAGTCTTTTGCGGTAAAGGTTTCCTACAGTTTTGGTCCATCACCTGAAGAATCTCGCAATGTGAATCTCTTCGATTCCTCTATCCTACGCATAGGCTCTTTAACGCCGAGATGACGTGGCTTAGCTCTTCTATTGGTTATTCCTTTAAACTCTAAGTCCCGAGTGGAAGGTTGGAAGTTGAGTTCAGTAGCGGGGTCATTGTTTATTTAAGGTTTTTTGAGGTTGTTAAACGTTAATATCAGGCGGGAGGCCGTTCTTCAACATATGCGGGCGTGATGCCAATCGGGCCAGTATCCATCCCAAAACGATTGAAAACTGCCCATCCTACTCTGAAGACCACATCTAGCCCTCCACGATAGAAGAGTTAAAATCTGAAGCAATTACGCGCAATTGAAGCACGACCATGTTATTAACCGTCAAAGAACTCAAAACTATAAAGTTCTGGGAATTAAGAGAAGCTTTGTATCATTCCATACCGGCACAAAGTGTGCCCTCAGCTCATTATACCCCCAACCTTTGCATAAGAGCAGGGCCATAAATAAGCTCCCGAACCAACCAACTCTAGCCCCAACCGTTACCCAGAGTAAACAATCTTTGTTTGCAGCACACTGAATGGTGTGACAGGACAGACGATGAAGCCTTAAGTTATCTCTGTACGGATCTTAGGCAGGAGGCCATCATCGCATGATATATTAGGTTTGACATCAGACAAAGGCAAGCAGTTCAGCAAGAGAGTGATTACATATCAGACTTGAAGTGATTGCCTTTGAGGTCAGAGACCAGTACCGCAGTTATCCAACAATTGTTATCTCCCGATAATTCTCACTCCACTTTAGACTTCCTATAAACCTGACTCAATCTGGCCGAACGAGGAGCTTGCTATTGCCGCCACATAGAGATTACCTCTGTTTCGTCACCCCATTCAAGCATGCATACACACTTCGCACTCAGTTTTAACTGGAACCACAAACAACTCGTTATTTATCTCGCAAACTTTTAGGTCTCACATTATATACCTCTTTGAATCTTCTCACCACTCACAAATGGTGTGTTACGATGCCAACAACGAAACGTCCTGTCTTTTAATCCAACTGCAGCTCAAGAACCTGGACAGGAGGAAAAGAGCCAGCAAGGGAAAAAATAGGCAAGACGAAATTTCCGACGAAGGCCTTACTGCTGAGACTTACGAGTCTGAGCTAAAATCCCGTGTCCTCGTTGTCTCGGACACATGCATGTGTAAAAGCATGGCAAAGGCCAAGGAGCTCGACGGGTGTCTTATTTCCACTCTCGTAAATCAGGAGAAGCAGGCTGCACAAGACAGAGAAGTCGCCCTTCGTCTCAGCCGTGGAGGACAGGTCGATGAGGATTCCTCTACTGAAGCCGCTCAGGAAAAGGCATCTGCAGATGCAGATGAAGAGTTATTGAGCACATTCAAATCCTTCTATGTATCTACAGATGGCTATGATGATTCCTCAGACCAGACCGAGTCATCGACATGGCCGGCATCCACAGGGCAAATAACGGAAACGGCCAAAGCAGTAAAGAGAGACAAGAGGAAATGTAGCAGTTGCTTTAGTAATTATGTTTCCACCGAAGTGGCACGCTGTCCCTGCAGCCACGAGTATTGTCGACACTGCCTACAAACTTTCTTTGAAACGTCACTCACAGATGAGTTTCTGTTCCCTCCAAGGTGCTGTGGAAAGCGCATTCCTGCCAACGATAACCAGCAGTTTCTCCCCTCAAAGTTGATTGAGGAATTCCAAGCTAAAGCGCTTGAACTCTCGACGCCCAACCGGACGTACTGTCATAAGCCAACGTGCTCGACATTCATACCGAAAGATTTCATTAAAGCCGATATCGCGTTTTGTCAACGATGTATGAACAGTACCTGTGTCATGTGCAAGGGCGCCGAGCATAAGGACCAAGACTGTGCCCAGGACATCTTGACTCAGGACCTACTCCAGATTGCCGCGGCAAACGGCTGGCAGCGATGCTTCTCTTGCCGAAGAATCGTAGAGCTAGAGCACGGATGCAATCACATAAGTAAGTCACATCACCCAGCATCTCTTGGTACACAAGGTAAGCTTACATTACTACATAGCCTGCCGGTGCAGAGCGCAGTTCTGCTACTTATGTGGCGACCGATGGAAGACTTGCGCCTGCCCGCAGTGGAACGAGAAGCGACTCTACGCTTGCGCTAATTCCACTATGAATCGAGATGCCAACACTCCTGTTATGAATCACGAGGGGAGGGTTCGAAGGGCAGGAAGAGAGGCGCACAGGCTGATCATCGACAGCCAGAACACGCACGATATACCGAGAAGCCACGGTGGCCCCTCGCACTGTAGAGAGTGCCACGACACGATGCCTCTATACATTAACGAATGCCCTAGATGCCATATTCGGTCTTGTCAGCGTCGTCAGTTCAATCAACTTTGAGCTACTCCGGTGGTTTTTGGTGTATCTGTGCTTTGAACATTTGATAGTCATATCGACGAAAGGCCAGTCGGATGCGCATGTTCCAAGAAGATGTACATGACACGCAACGCAATGCTTCGGATCAGTAGTTAGACAAGCTGTAGTGCAGTAAACACAAAGACGTACGCTGTTGTTGTGGGCTTCGGAACTAAATCAGAATATGCTTACGTCACCTGTGGGCCTCAAAGCAAAGTTTCGGTAATAATACCGCGTGGCTTATAACACATATAAAGCTATTGTGATAGCATAGGAAGCAGATACAATCAGTTGAGTCGCCGAACTCGACATCCTCATCGACAGGTGTTCTTTCATCTGATACGTCGGTTCATTGGCGCAGACTTGGACGGGGTGAAACCTAACTATTGCCAACCAACGTCGGACTTGCCTTTCTGGTGGTAGTACATAACAAGATCATAAGTAAGCGAGCCTAGTTTTCTAAGCAGTACTTTAACTTGTTCCCGGTCCAGCAGCTCTTCGTGTCAGCAAAGACCTTCAGGACAATGTCCCGCAAACCCCTATCGCTGTCTAGTGTGGAGGTATATGCTTCGTCAATAGCATCAAGGAAGTCATCGGTATCCCAGGATCGTTGAGCAGTCGTCTCGAACTTGGTGCGAGCGAGACTCTTGAGATCATCAATGGCATACTTCTCGGCAATTGTATATACTTTGGCGTGAAGGAGAATGTCAGAGATATCTCCCGCATTTGAGTGCTCTTCGGTTGTTTGACAAAGATCATCGTGACTAGGGAGAAAGCTAGGAACAAGAGCCAGCTGGTAGAAATATCACAGGGCAGGTCCTGAAATATACTGTCAGGTTGAATATCGTCGAGCGCTACGGCGGTTTCTTAGATCCTGATGCAGTTGCGCATAGTCGCTGCTGCAATGTAACTCTAGCTTCGTGGCGGGGCGGATGGTATGCTGGCAAACATTCGAGTTATAAACACTTGGCTAGTATCCTAGTGGGTGTGAATCAGTGACGTTGCGCGGCGAAGGCCGCGTCTTGTGCGGGGCCACATGCGAGGCCGCAAAAAAAAAAACCAGGCGATGAGGAACCAGTGCGTCCTGCCCAGATGAGCTGTGGCAGATCAGCTGGCTCGAGGAGACGAGCCCGCAGTGCAGCTTGGCCTGCGACGTCACCCTTCTAGCCGCTGTCCAAAACAATTGATCATCTAAGTTGCCTTGGATAGGGACACGGACGAGCACAGCGATAAGCTGTATTTTTTTTAGGGTGGGGTCATCACCAAAGTGGGTACATGCCGGAACACGTGCGGGGGAGCAAAGTCAAAGGAGCGGTTTGTTGGCAGGTCTCCGTCCGAAGCAGTTGGTCCGCCTCGAAAACTGGGGTATTGCCGTGGGCTTCAACGATGGAAACCATGCAACCAACATCACCCGGCCCTTGAAAAAGAGGAGATTCGCAGGGCAACCGTCGATATCTTCCATCTCGTTAAAGACATCTTCAGTACCGCGGACGCGCGCATGTAACGGTCGCTCCGCTCCACGCCGGGAGACACGGGCTCAGGCTCAGAGCATCTACTCAAGCTTCTGGGAATGCTAGGCGAATTGAGGGGCGCAAAAGTAGTCTGGGCCACGGAAGTCAGATTCAAAAGCACAAAGTAGGTATAACTATTGAAAAACCAAGTGAATATCGCCTTGTACGACTTAGTACCGTCAAACCCTGCGCAGGTTACGTGGGTGTTACTCCCTATGGTCACGTGAGTCAACACGCTCGGACCAGGGGCAGGTATTGAGATGGATCTTGAGGATGTCACGTCCATCATTATTACTGAGCAGACAGAATCGTATCAACTACATTCTCAGCTTGAAGATACGGGGAGCCTTTGCCACTTGGTCCGAAACGTCTCTTCGCGACCAGGGTTAGCCAAATGCGGCGAGACCTGCACGCGTGGCTATGCAGCCCCGATGAGCGGTACGATGACTCCGTGCAAATGCGTTGTCTTGCGGGCACCTGTCGTTCACGTTCCTAGAATGGATTTGTCCAGGTTTTCCCGCCGGCACCAAGGTGCTCTGGACCCACGGCCCTGCGGGTATTGGCAAACACATTTTCTGCGCAAACATCATTGAGCATGTCACGAATACAATACAAACGCCCGTCGCCCGCGTCCTCTTCCTCTCGTCAGACTGACAGGCGTGAGGGTCCCTTCTTGGCTGTGCGGTCATGGACCTCCTACGTCGTGACGCATCATCACCAATAGCCTTGTGTACCCCCCATACCAACATGTTTTGTCTCAACTCCCTTGGTCGACTGATCATTGGGGTAAGTCGAAACGTACTGTTACGGGACATTATTTGTTTGATCCAGATGATGATTCTGTTGCCTTGATGTTGGTTTTCTCCCTCGCAGTTTTCCAACATCGGTTTTGCAAATGCGGAGGCAGAGTCTGCGGCCAAGTTATAAAGCAACTAGGCATCCTTCACCGGAGACCCGTGAGTGCTGGCGATAATGAGTAAGACCAACATGTCACACTAACAAAATTGTACGAGTCCAACATCTGGGTCACTCAAACTGAATCCCTCCTTACTCCGGTTGATGCCTGGGTAGAGACGCCCTTCAACCATTTGCATGAGGTTGCAGGAGCATCTTTGACGATAGCCTGAGTAGAGTACACCAGACGAGCGAAAACTTTGCACCCACTCCTCAACTGCGGCTAGCTCATAGCCAAGGTAGGGTTCTTGTGGTGTCGGATCCAGGAGCTTGTAGTTGCACATATTCTTGGTAAGGCTGCCAAGAAGAAAGGCAGAACAGTCAAAACCGCACCCCGCTGATCCTCTACACAACGACGCCAACAGGTTGCCAAGCACCTTGCACACAGCGTTGATCGCGTCCTGTCGGCGCCAGTCAATGGCTTCTGCTGAAGTTAGCAACGGAAGTTGTGGCAAAGAAGTCGCTTACCAATGAGACTTGGCGGGATGGGCAACTCGAGCGTTGGGACAGGGCCCTTGCTCTTTTGCACGGCTGTCTTGGTGACGGCCTTGAACACAGTGTCCTGCCGGAGAATGACAGAGATCGAGAGCCAAAGCACCAGCTCACGGTTGCACTCAGATGGAAGCTGTTTCTCCAGGGCTTCGACCCACATGTTTGAGAAGAACGCAATTGCGTCGTGACACTCGTAGTAGTCGATCATGACTGCAATCTTTGCTAGAGTCTCGAGATCTATGCGGCGGGGAATGTCTTTTGTTTTTGCGTGAATGATCTGCATCAAAAGAAGAAGAGCATCGACGTCCCAGTCCGACGCATCCAATTGGTAACGGCCATCTGGTCCGAGGGTTATAGCCTCCCTCCAAGGGCTATTGAACTGAGTATTGAAGTAGCGCGACGCCAGGGAAAGGTGCCGGGAGGAGAGAAGGAATGTAATCTCCGGTACCAATTCGACGTCGTCCTGGAGTGGTGTTGTATGTTTCGAGTGCCCGTCTGCGGAGGCATCAAATCCTGGGGGTACTGGCATCGTCGTTTGCTCCGAAGCGCCGACTAAAGGGGGTCCATTTGCAAGGGCCTCCGAATCCGTGACGGGTTCCGTGACGGTGGAGATGCCAGCGTCTAGACTTTGGTTTCTCTCCTGTGTCGCCATTTTCTTCATTTTTTCGTCTTCTTTTTCTCTTTCTCTTTCTTCTTCATCTTTTTCCTTGCTTTCTTTTCTATTTTCTTGAACTTTTTTTCGTCTTCCAGCCATCTCTCGTTCTTCTTTGAAGTAGAAATAGCGGCCCAAAAATTTTCATCTCCTTCGGGCTCTTGCTCGGCAGGGACGGAAAACACGGGCTGGTTACAAGTCGGCCAAGGAACCCCTATTCTATGATGGCATTAGAGATCAAAACCCCGTCTCTTCAGGTCATGGGGCAAAAGTCAAAACCGCATATTCAGTCTGTGTATGCTGTTTCTCACAGACTCATCCCAATCAGCGAACGGCGCGTTTGGGTTCCGTAAAGTGAGCACAACGTCGCCATCTGAATCAAGCTTGTGGAAAGTCTCGTCGGGCATGGTGCTGTATTGCGCAAAGGCTTGTTGTTTGATTGCTTCGTCGATAGTTGGGCCTGTCAATGTCGAGTCTTCTCCTATTTATCTGCGGCGCAGCCTGCATGTTCCCAGTGGCGGGGTTGTTGGTCTCCCGCAGTCGTGGTGGCGGCTCAGCACTTTCCCCTGATCCCTTGTGTTCTTTGTGGGATAGGTCTGACCTGCTGGTAGTGAAGGGCTGCGTACAGTACCTACTAGGTCAGAAGTCTTTGCACATCAATAAGGATAAGCCAATGAAAAGCTACAGTGGGGTGGTGAGCCACAGGACCTCTGGTGGTGCACTGTGAAGTGACCCCAAGCTAACGGGTTCCCTCTGTGCCGTTGATTGGGTTAGGTATTCTTATTGCTGTGCAAACACTTCTGACCTAGTACTGTACGTAGACGGGGAGCAAACGCAGCTGAGTACAGCATGCGTCGCAATCTTCTCGCTTGTGGTACTTGGCCGCAGGATGGCACAGGTGCGATGGAACAGCAAAAGAAAGGTGGCGCCAACAAGCTCGGACCAACCACTGTGAGCAACTGAACTTGGACAAGCGGCAAAAACGGTGGAACCTGCTCATGAAGTACATGATGGTAGGGATGTGTCCATGCAGTGGTGCCTGAAAGACCTCTCTGATAGCCACCGATGGTGGAGCAGTGAAGGCCGTACATGCCGAGTTGCGACCAGACCAACGGCAGCCTGTGCTCGGCTGAGGGCGACATCTTGTTGGTAGTGGATGCGCTTGTAGCCTGCAGCAGCCGTGCAGCCGCGACGGGCTCCATTCCCCAAGTGTTTCCCTAGGCGCTAAGCTTACTGGGCCGAAGGAGCTGCTTCGCAAGCTTGACTCATAAGCTTCGTCTGGGTCAGGGAGGTTCCCAAACGGTTTATCGAATCAGAGGGGAGTATCGCCAGGTTCGGCTCCAGACCAGACAGATACACCATGATTATTGCGGAGGTTCGAAGTCGTGTGGCCAGGTAAGAGACCGCTGCAAGCACGGCGGCATCGTTTCATGTCTCGTCCGAACCTGTAAGCAGGCCGGGAAGTGGTCGACTTTGGGCCCGACGTCCTGGAACGACGCTGTCGGTTGTGTCACGTACTCGCGACAGCGTGACGCCTCTGCGGGACATCACGTCGGCCTTCAGGCAAATAGAGACGCTGATAGTGTTATCCGCCACCAATCCATTCGAGACCGCGCAGTTGGCAATGGTCCTTGACAGATAGCGAGCTTACGACTGCCCCAAGCGGCTCGCGTTCCCCGTCGATGCTGCCCTTCCACCGCCTTTGCTCAGGCGGTCTGCTTCAGCGACATCCAATTCAAAACACCGGAGCCCAATCTATTGAGGTGTCACCATCGGCAGCGAAACTTCAAGCGACTTTGAGACGTGGGCTGCCGTTATAGGCCACTTATGAAAATTGCAGTTTCATGCGATTCCACTCCTCACACGCTGTCACCGTAACAGTCGCTGCGACAGCACCCGCTTATCCTTTATTTCTGGCGGCTTCAGCAGCGCTAACATCATCCACCACTATCTTTCGCATCAACGAAGGCTCCTCATCAGGCGCAATCTCAACTGCTTCACCATCAGGTAGGCCTTCCTCTCTCTAGCCGACTTCGTTGATTTCCTTGATCTTGGCTTCCACTGTGGCCCGGAGATCTCGCGAGAAGTTCTTGATTTGGTCACGACTCTCTCTGTCATGGCGTCAGAAAAAGCAGCACATAGAAGTTGCATTCTTACCTCAAAAGCGCCTGGTTTTTCGTTAGGCGGGCCACATCAGAAGTGTCTGAGAGCCTGTTCTTTGCAAATAATCTACTCATATCCTCCTTCCCTGCGGCTTCTCTGGCATCATCTGTCATGCACCAGTCTGCTACAGCGACGACCACGTCCAGTAAATAGAGGATCACAGTAATCGCTTCGACTGTGCATCCATGCTTCTGGTTTGACGGCAGACTACTCTTAGCTTCATCGAGGCGTACGCGGATATAGTTACTGAGGTTGACTTTCGTAGCGTCTGAGTCCATGGTATGGTCCGTGTAATGAATACAACCAACCGCTTGGAAAGCTTCGGTGTTGCGTCACGAAATGGCGGGGGTGGACAGACGGGCGATAGAAGACCAACATCTATTTATACCACCAATCTAGCAATTGCATTTCTCGTTGCTTGCACCAAGAATCAGCTTTCAGGTGATGCGGCCAAGAGCAAGCACCCAGACCGACCAACACTCTTGGAGACGGAACTCTCCGCTATTGGCCAAAGAACGAGCCTTCCCAGTCGCACTCCCCGCACCGGTGGAGGTCGATCTTGGGCTATGCATGATAGGCACAAATGGAGCTGGCCGTCACAAAAGCAAGGTTCTCAATTGGAAGGTGGGTTGCTGCCTGTTCAGTGGGTAATGAGATTCGCCTACCTTCCTAGCGCCTTGGCTACATGAGTCACTGAGGCCACTTGGTCAGGTAAGGAAGTTGAGACGACCTCCCGCAACTTCAAGGGTTCTTCAAAACACATTGCTTCTTGTCTCGGTCGACCTGACGTGAGACCCCAACAGGATGCAACAATGAGCAATTGTTTTATCTCATGACACTGACTCACGAACCCTGTCTGCCCTGCTTCGTATGTGATGACTGTTAGCATGCATATGCAAGAGTGCGATAACAGCGTTCAAGGCTACAAACCCCGCGCACTTCGATTCGCCCTGCGAGGCGCCACGCGGCGATCTGCAGGCCTTTCGACCGCCTACTCCAGGAAGAAAAGCCGCTGAAGGGAACAAAAAAAGCAACCCTTCACCGGCTTAACTTGTCACAGCAACCCACAACAATGGAGCCTGCTAGTTTCGCCGTGGCGTCCCCGGGCTCGCTGGCCTCTTCAGCTCCTGTCTAGAGGCCGTTGACAATTTGCAATCGTAACGTTCAGCCCGGGCTGATGCAAAAAAATTCCATATAATAAGTCAAGATACCTGAGAATAAGTAAATCTCATCAGCAGAGATCTGCCGCCGTCCATATACCTTTGGTGTCCTACGCTGAGAGTAGTTCTTCAACCCGTGCTACCGATTCGTCCAATAAGCAACAAGGCCTCCGGGGATAATTCGGCCAAGTGGGGCTGCTGGCAGCTTCCGCATCTCCCCGTCCCGGTGCGGCACATAGAATGGCTTATAGGAGCCCGGAGGTCCGGGCTTGGCTGGAGGCTCATGGGGCCAGATCGTGCTCTCATTATCGCAACATTCGGCGCACAGTCAGTAGTATAGGCGACGGCACAGTCTTACGCTCCGATCTGAACGAATGGCACCGCGGTATATCAGGCACACTGGCGATACCACGGTTGAGGGCGGCCCAGGTACGACCTGAGAACGCAGCTCACCCGCTTCCTTTTGGTTACGACCATGGGGCTACGGCCCACCGGAAACCCGCACACAAACCCAGGTCCAGCTTCCCGTTACTGCGACTCGTCTCCGATTCACAGCCGACCATGTCTTGCAGATCAGAAGCGCAGAGTTACAGCTAAACCGGCACGGCTGCTCGCACTCTGTCCACTAACCTAACCCATGTCCGCTGTATGATGTTTGATTGCGGTGCGCTGTGTCTTTGAAATCGGTCTGACCACTTGTTCTATGCTCAAAGCTTATCTGCTGACACTATATGGACCCGATACAACGTCAGCAGGATACGATATCTTCCTTGCTCAATACGAAGGACTTAACTCACTGAGCGACAATGGTGATGACGAAGATATCCGTCAATACACCTAGACAACCCTTTTTTCCACCAAGGATGATGATGTGGCGGAGGACATTGACAACGACGGAGCGTTCTATGTAAGTACTGCTTTCTTCGGCAAAAGCAACTTCAATGGTAAGACTATGACATCGTATCTTGTTGACCGGTCGATCTATCACTAATTTTAAGGTGTACCCGGGGACGGAGTAAGAGATGACAACAGATACCCTGTATGTTTACAGAGGGCTATCAAGAGGACGATCACGATAATACAAACAAGCTGTATGACAAAGACCACGGTTCCAATTATGGTTCCGATCACGTGGCCATCGAAAGGGAGCTTGATGTGAGCGTATGGCAAGAATAGCATAGGTCCAGGCTTCGCTTCGGAAACGCACTTTGAAAGGATATGAGGCGGTGGTACAGACTGCCACTATTGTAACTATCCACTTTCCATACACTGAGCTGATGCCAATGGTGGACGGCCATATGCGAGCTAGCAGCCCATGCACTAACGTGCAGCTCACATCGATACGCCAAGGCCGTGAGGGCCGAATTGGGATACTGTAAATTCACTGACTAGAACTTCCAACCCAATGAAGAACTCAGAAAAGAACAATTTTGGAGTAAAACTGGATACTAAAGTGGAGATCCTCATTCTTGGCAAGAATCAGGTCCATTCGCATCTGGTGGGATAGATAGATACACTCGATGAAAGCAGGCAAAATTACATCGTATAGCTCGCGGTCGAGATCAGGAAACGAAAACATGACTCGATTTGATGTCGGCGATGGCAGAACCCATCGTGTGCCTGACTCAGTTAGCCGTCATGACAAATGTCCGGGAGGAAGCCCCGGCTGGGATGTCC